GATATAAATCGATGAAAAGTCCCGACGCAAGCGGGAAAAGTGTCGGCGACACGCGAGCGGACAATGAGATATTAATACCTCCCATTCGGTTTCGATTTCCTGGAAAAACGGTTGATGGAGATAAAATTACCACCGACAACGGAACACCGTCACAATAAATCAGGCGCATATGTAGTCGTTTTATATATATATATATATATATATATATATATATATATATATATATATATATATATATATATATGTTTATTATATCGCATATCAATCCGTATATGTCAATATTATGCACATCAAAATTTACTCATTGTCTTAATTGAAAACTTACACATTAGAATTTCTTTCGTATTTCAATTTCATTTGTGAAATTAAAAAAATTTTTTTTTTAAATTGTGAACAATTTGCAGTAAATTTTTTTAACAAAAAAAAAATAATAATAAGTTAGTAATAAATTAATTAAAATTTAATAATTTAATTAATTAAAATCGAAATTTCGAATGAGAATGCGGGGGGGGGGGGATTTTTTGTTGTCCAGAATGATAATACGAAATGAATAAGAGTGATGATTGTTGGGAAATTTAATTGGAAATCTTAAGGGTGTAATAAAGTTACGGTGTGAGTCGCGAGATAGAGAAATTCGTTAAACCAGGAATGTCCGTGGAACCAAAAGGTTATTGAGGATGAAGATTGCCCCCTTCCGATAACATGGTACTAAGATACTGCCATTTCGTGGCCACTCGAACTTTATCTTGATTGAGATCTTGTTCTCCTGTATATATTCCATTCTCCCAAGAATCTCATATCCATTCCTTCAAGTTCAACTCTAAGATATATTCTATTGATGATATTTACAAAATTTATTTTTTAAATTAGTTATATTAGTTTATATTAGTTATATTATTAGTTATATTAAATAATTAACAATTACTATTAACTAGCAAATGATATAAAAAGTGATATTCAATTTATTATTATTGTACAACTTAAACAAATTTTTTAATTTTCAAATATGAATTTTCGAATAATTTCAAATTCCAAGTTTAAAAAAATTCAATTATCAACTAGTTTACTAATTAATTATTCTTCTTTATTAATTTTAAAAATTTTAATAAAATCCTTCGTAGGAATTCAATTATTTTCATAAATAATAACGTAGGAATTGAAATTATTCTTTAAAAAAGGTCAAATTTTTGGCCAAAAATTCTAATATTTTCAACAACAAAAATTCCACGACAGAATTAAATTTTTTTTTTAATTCGTTATAAAATTTTTCAAGAGAATTCAATTATTTTCTTAATTCGATATAAAATATACCAAAAAAATTGAATTGTTTTCTAAATTTTTTATAAATTCTTCGAAAAAATTCAATTATATTTATAAATAGTAAAATTGTTTGAAAAAATTCAATTATTTTCAAATATATTTCACGACAAAATTCAATTTTTTTTTTAATTCGTTATAAAATTTATCAAAAGAATTTTAAAAAAATCAATTATATTTGTAAATAGTAAAATTCTTTGCAAAAATTAAATTATTTTAAAAAATTTTAATAAATTCTTCGAAAAAATTTAATTATATTTGTAAATAATAAAATTCTTTGCAAAAATTAAATTATTTTCTAAACTTTTAATAAATCCTTTGAAACAATTCAATTAAGAAGAAATAAAAAGTGAAGAAAATAAATAGAAAAGAAGTAAAGTAAATAAATAAATATAATAATAATAGTGATAGTAACAGATGTTAACTTGTATGAATGAATAAATAAATATATAATAATAACAAATAAATAAAACAAAAAATATGCAAAATAACAAAAAACATGAAAATAATTATAAAATAATAATAAAATAACATAAAATAAATAATGGAAATTTTAATAATAATAGTAACAAACAAGCAATACAAAAAAATACAAAATAACAAAAACATAAAAATATTAAAAGAACATAAAAAAATAATTAAAATATTAATAATAATAATATGTAACAGTCGGTAAATTTTATGAATAAATAAATAAATAAAAAATCAAAAGATTTGTAAGGGGATGAAACTTGTTGAAAATTTCCGTTACGATTAGAAAAAAAAGAAGAAGAAGAAAAACGGTTTTTATTTGTTTTTTTTTATTAAAGAGGAAAGTACAATGGTGGATAAAGTGAAGAGCATCTTCGCCAGATGGTTTGTGGGTGTTTTTAGAGAGAAAGAGAGAAAGAGAAAGAGAGAGAGAGAAAGCACGTGGACCTAGAATCAATTTTCGAAGGATACAATCCCTCATCGTTTTGAGCACGAGCTCGTTAATAGACTGGCTCTACTCATAAATAGACTATCGTAGATAACCGTTCCGGATGATTCGTCATAAATGCAGCAATACACTAAGGTCCAGTGGATTTTAATGAACCTTCTTGAAAAAATATCGACACATGTCTCAAGTAGTGTGAAAAAATTTTCAAACACATGTTACTTTTGAGACGATTATTATAATACAAATTAAATATTAAATATATTTCAATTTTTAATTTAATTTATTGCTATGTCAATAAGATTGAAAACATTTTCCCCTGCGGAGAAATTTACTGCGATTACTAAATTTATCATTTACATCAATAATCAAAAATCAATTACTTGTCTATTATCAAATAAAAAATAATCTTTACTTCAAACAAATAATTTTTTTTTCAGTGTATTATTATTTTTATTATTATTTATTCTTATCATTCTTATTAATTAATATTATTAATATTTTTGTTACTATTATTATTCTTATTATTATTTATTCTTATCATTCTTATTATTAATATTATTAATATTTTTGTTACTATTATTATTCTTATTATTATTACCTATTATTATTATTAATATTATTATAACAAATTCAGGCGGTTAATAGTGCAAAAATATAATAAATAAAAAATAATTATACAAATATAAATAAAAATCGTAAATAAATATAATAATGATAATAAAGTAAATAAATAATAAATACTGCATAATAAATAATAAATATTAAAAAGTAAGAAGTAAATATTTAAATAATAAAAAATAGTTATAGTGTCACATTATCATGACGTATTTTTAATAAACAACGAAATAATTAATAATAATATGTAATTAATAATCAATAATAATAATAATAATAATAATAATAATAATAATAATAATAATAATTGTTAATTAATAAACAACTTATTAACGATTATTGAAAAATAATAATAATAATTCATGGAAATAATAATAATTATTTGTAATTATTGTTGATTATAATTGTTCAGATTAATTTAATAACAATTAAAATTCTATAATTTAAATAAATAATAATAATTAAATAAATAAAAATAAATAATGATTAAATAAATAAACTTAAATAAGTAAAAATAAATATATAAAAAAAGGAAAACAAATTATAATAATAAAAAATAAATTAAATAAATAAATAAAAAATCGTGAAAAATAATTTTTATTTTCGAATAAGTTGACAAAATTTTTATTTACATGAAAATTGTGTAACGTACTTGAAATTGTCAGTAAATTTATTAGTCATTGTGTAAAGGAAGTTTGGCTACATATCTTTATAAGATAAAGCAAAAAAAAAAAGAAAAAAAAAAAAAACGGTCAGTGAGTAAATTTTATTCGTCGCATGTGTCGGATCGTTAAGAAAGTTCATGGAGCGTGAAAGACGCACCGCACGGGGCATAGAGGGCCACACATGTTTCGTAAGAAAATAGCACCTGTAGGGGGGCTTTTAATGATAAACCGTATTTTGAAATACGTTAGCATCAACACCGTAACGAAGACGTTGCTGCCGCTGAGACTTTTTAAAGGGACCCCTCTCTCTCTCTCAAGAGACCTTTAAAAACACCGCAGAATTTATAAATGAATATTCATGAAATTTTTTTTTTTACTACGTGAACATTTTTTTCTTGCTAAACAAAATGTTAGAATAATTTCTATTTGTTAATATATTTTTTTATTTTTCTATTTATTTTACCGAGAAAAACATAATTTTTTTTTGTTTTTTGGTAAAAAATTTAAAATAATATAAAAATTAGTAAAATATATTTTTTTACAATCTAAGGACAGTTTCTTTCAAAATTTTTACTTAGAAATATTTTTTTTTTCTAATTTTTTAATAGAAATTTTTTTTTACTGCTTTTGAAATAATTTATTTGCAAATGAAATATATAATTTGGAATAAAAGCAAATTTGAAATAGTGATTGATTTTTTGTTTTTGAATTAGTAAATTTAACTAATAAATAGACGTTTCTAATTTATAAATAAAATTTACTATGAAATAAAAATTTTTCTGTAAGTAAAATTTACCATAAAAAAAAATTTTACTATAAATAAAATTTACTATAAAATATGTTACTATAAGTAAAATTTACTATAAAAAATGTTACTACAAGTAAAATTTACTATAAAGAAAATGTTACTATAAGTAAAATTTACTATAAAGAAAATGTTACTATAAGTAAAATTTACTATAAAGAAAATTTATTTTCAAAAGCAATGTCAATCACTAATTTAAATTAGTAAACTTTTTTATTAATTCAAATTTAGAGAGTATGAAGTACTTTTAATAAATGGTAGTAAAAATAAAAAATTAATATAAAAACAATTTTCTATTTAAACTGGGAAAAAATATAAATAATTTTTCGAATATAAAAAAAAATATACAGCCAAACAATTTTCTACGACGAAATAATTGATTTTTAACCTTTGCTCATATTGTGAGAGGAGTATAAATATTATTTTTTTTTTTTTGGATATAATATCAATAGATAATGTTGGATTGATTGAATTTTAAGATTTAGTTGGTCGCATAGTGTTCTTTGTAAATTTAATTAGATTCTTCAAACAGTGATAGTTGCCAACATTGAAAATGTAAAATAAATATATATATGAACACACATTTATTCTAACGCCCGCATATCATTTATCTTTTATCATTTCTCAAAAATCAGTATAAATACCTTTATCTTTTCAAAATAGAGTTCAGTTTATCGAAATCTATTGATTTATAAAAAGGTAAATGTGTCTAATTTTCAATTATCGAAATAATTTCGTTTTCGTAAAAAAATACGATAGAGAAATCATTTATTTTATATTTTATCCTTTAGTTTACATGTGAATTTATAATGTAATTATTTATTTACTTATTTGTTTATTTATATAATTTAATCATATAAACTGGTTATTGTTTATAATTTATTTACTTGTATTTTATTTTATGTAAGTTATACTTTTATTTTTTATTCTATTCGTTTTTATTTACTTTTATTTATTTTTATTTCTATTCAGTTTAATTTAATTTATTTTTAACTAATTTTAATATTTTTTCTAAGTTTATTTATTATTCATTTTTTATTTTTTAGTTTCTTTATTTTTACTTTTTATTTTTTTATCTCTACTTTTTATTCTCTTCATTTTCATTTTTTAGTTTCTTTATTTTTACTTTTTATTTTTTTATTTCTACTTTTTATTCTTTTCATTTTTACTTTTTATTTTCTTTACTTTTACTTTTTAGTTTCTTTATTTTTACTTTTTATTTTTTATTTCTACTTTTTATTTTTTTTCATTTTTACTTCTTATTTTCTTTACTTTTACTTTTTAGTTTCTTTATTTTTACTTTTTATTTTCTTTATTTCTACTTTTTATTTTCTTTATTTTTACTTTCTATTTTTTTATTTCTACTTTTTATTTTTTTTTCATTTTTACATTCTACTTTCTTTATTTTTATTTTCTTTATTTTGTATATTCTTACTTTCTATTTTTTTATTTCTACTTTTTATTTTTTTTATTTTTACTTTCTACTTTCTTTATTTTTACTTTTTATTTCTACCATTGATGTCTAATTGTGTTTTAATTTAATGATTTTTTTACAATGTAAAGAAAAATTAAATTAAATTTCATTCTTTTTTATTTTAAATACAAATAAAACTTTTTATTTTGTACATTTTTACATTCAATTTTTTTATTTTTTTCATTTTTACTTTTTATTTTCTTTTTTTTCTACTTTTTAGTTTTTATTTTCTATATTTCAATTTTTTTTATTTCTACTTTTTATTTTCGTCGTTTTTACTTTTTATTTTCTTTACTTTCATTCAGTTTAATTTTATTTTTTTACTTTTCATTATTTTTGTACTTTTTTTCCATTTCAATTTTTTTCTACGTTTGTTATTTTTATTTTTAGATACAGAATTCGTAGTGAAAATGAAAAAAATTTTCCTTACACTCTGCGTGACAATTTTGATGGCAAATATTGTCAACGCTGAAAATGATGATTCGGAGGAATTTTTAAGTCAAGAAGACATCATTGAAAGTGATGGCCTGCAGGAAATTTTAAATCTAGAAGCCAATGCATTTCTCGGTTATCCAAAAATGTTAATTTCCCGAGATGTTTATTTGGATGTCTACAATAATATTGAATTAGACGAGGAATCTGGAAAATGTATTCGTCCCTTAAGAAGCGTGAGTAGAATTTTTAATTTTTAAAGTCATATCTTTTTTCCTAAAAATAGAATCAAAAAAATAGTAATTTTCAGTTGTTCAATATTTAATATTTTTTTTCATTCGATATTTATTGACTCAAGTATTGTTTGAAAAATAAAATTAATTTAAAAAAAAATTTTTCCGGATTCAAATTTCAGTGCGGTAAAAATAACGAGCGTGAATGCTGCCGAAATCTCAGATGTGGAAGAATTATCAAACGTTGTCTACCCGCTTGGCTAGTACCAAAACCTCCAGAAACAACACCTGAAACAAATTATTAAAATTCAGAAAAAAATTTATATTTAAAAATAAAACCAGAAATTTTCCAATAAATAACATAAAAGTAAAATAATAATTTTAATTTCACTAATTAAAAGTAAATAATTTCTTCCCCCGGAAAAAAATGGAAAAATAGAAAAAAAATTTCTTTCAAAACAAAAAAATGCGATGTTAGACAATTGTCCTTTTACGGCTCCGTTCACAATCGTGGAATCATAAATCGAAAGCAATTGCGGTTGGCATGAAAGCTTTCCGAATACAGGCAGCAGGCTTGCTATATTAGCTCTTGTAGTTAGATTTTAGTTTAATGATTTCCGCTGGACAATGACTGCGGTAATAGCGTCCGAATCCTGTCCGCCTCGTTCCGACCGAGCACATTCTCCGAATGGTTCCGTGGCATGGACCCCGCGCGTCGTACTCTATACATACATACATACACACATACAACATACATTTCTCTCTTGTGAACGCTTCACATGAAGTAAAGAGCTTTATGTTAAGTTTACACATACAATCGATTTTCATGTGTATTTTTGATTAATTACCGCAAATAATTTACAAGCAGAAACATCGAATGGGAACATTTTCTGTGTAAATTTTCTTTTTTCCGCTCTTTATACAATTTTATTGTTTTAAAAAATAATTTTTTTATTTTAATTTTCTCAGAATTAATTATTTAATTTTTTTTTCTATTTTTACTACTAGTATTTTTATTTCTATTAAAATTATTTTTTTTTATTCTCACGCGTTGGGGATCGAACCACTGACCCTAAGTTCCATTCTCTATTTTACGTGCCTTAACGACAAGGACAAACGCGAATTATATTTTTACTACTGATTTTCTTATTATTGTAAATTTTTTCTAGATTTCAGTATTTTTGGTCTGACTAAAACTATTTTATACCACTGATTTTATCAGTTTCTAAAATTTGTCTAGATTTCTATATATTTTTTTGGTCTGACTAAAACGAGTTTATACTACTGATTTTTTTATTTCTGTCTAGATTTCACTATTTTTAGTCTGACTAAAACTATTTTCTACAATTGCTTTTCAAAAATTGTACCTAAATTTTGCTTAGAATACTAAAATTTCACTGCCTGACAAAAACTAACTTAGACTAATGATTTTTTAATTTTTGTAAATTTTCCGTAGATTTCAGTATTTTTGGTCTGACTATAACTATTTTATACTACTGATTTTTTATTTGATATACTTTTGCTAGATTTCTGTATATTTTTTGTCTGACTAAAACTATTTTATACTACTGATTTTTTGATTTCGTAAATTTTGTCTAGATTTCTGTATTTTTTTTGTCTGACTAAAACTGTCTTAAACTACTAATTTCTTTATTTTTGTACATAAATTTTGTCTAGATTACAGTATTTTTGGTCTGACTAAAACTATTTTTAACTACTGATTTTTTATTTGCTAAACTTTTGCTAGATTTCTGTATATTCTTTTTTCTGATTAAAACAAAAAAAAATTTTTTTTATACCACTGATTTTTTGCATTTAGCACCTAAATTTTGATAAGAAATCGATATTTTCTTTGTCTAACTAAAACTGCGTTACACTACTGATTTTTTGGTTTTTTTAAATTTTGTCTATTTTTCTGTATTCTTGGTCTGACTAAAACTATTTTACACCACTGATTTTTGTATTCTAATTTTTTAATTTAATAAATTTTGTCTAGACTTTTATATTTTTTCGTCTGACTATAACTATCTTACACTACTTATTTTTTTATTTTCGTCAATTTTTGTCTTTATTTCAGTATTTTTGTATTTTGTCTGACTAAAACAACTTTTTACTACTAATTTATTTATTTAGTAAATAAATTTCTTAAAATTCTTAAAACTAAGACTATTTTATACTATTGATTTTTTTCATTTTGTAAATTTTGTCTAGATTTTTGTATTTTCTTTTGTCCGATTAAAACTATTTTATACTACTGATTTTTAGAAATAACTCTCTAAATATGAATTAATAAAAAATGTTCACTAATTTCAATTAGTGACCGACTTTTTTGTTTTTTAATTTAATAAATTTTACTACTAAATTAGTAGAAATTACTATTTATTGGTAAAATTTACGAATTCAAAAGCAAAAAGTCAGTCACTAATTTAAATTAGTAAACTTTTTAACGAAAAAAATGATAAAACGAAATAAAATTCCAAACTTGGTTCTCAAAATTTTTACTAAGAAATTTTCTTTTTTCATTTGGTTTTAGGGGGAAAAAAAATCTATTTTGTCCCTATTGTAAATTTATTTTTCTCCTTATGCCGAATTTTGTTTTATGGTAGATAATAAATTTTTGCAAAAACAACAATTAAAGAAACAACTGTCGTTGAAGGATATTTGTGATTTTGTTAAAGAGATGTTTTGGATGGGATTTCACGAGGAAGGGTTATTCTAATTAGAATTTCCGCAATAAACTTTATCGTTCAGGACAATCGGACAATAACGATGAACCCAAAACAGAGATCTTCAAAGTTCAATGCTTTAATATAACGCTCTAACTTAAAGATAAACAATAAGTTTTCAAAATAGTGACAAATTTTTATTTTCATTTCAATAGAGAAAATTATTATTATTATTATTATTATTATTATTATTATTATATCCGTGATTATTTTTTGAAAATGAAAAACAAAATTTATTTTTTTTTCAAGATTTAAATTATTCATTTTAATATTAGAAAGAAAAAAAAAGAAACTAAAAACTTTTCTACAAATGGAAAAAAATTGTTGGAAAATTTGGTTGTGACTGTCAAACACTGAGAAAATGAAAACTAGAGTGCAACTAAATTCTAACGACAAATAACGAATTCTAAACTGAACTCGACAACTAATTATTAAATTACACACTTGGAGACATAATGTTTGTAGAAAAAGTAAAACAAAGTAATCAGTTTTGTACGTATTTAGATTAAATAGGGGAAAATTTGTTAGTTATACACATGTAATTTGCAAATATATATTCGCTTTCGACTATATGTACTTTTTTTCTTTCTTTTCTTTTTTATTTATTTATTTTTTATTTATTTTTTATCTATTTTCATTTATTTATTATTCATTTTTTAAATTTTTTATTTATTCTTTTTTACTTATTTATTAATGTACTTGAAATGAGTTGTCGTTTTTTTAATTTTCATTTTACCGCCGCGTCGTCTCTTGATTCTAATTTTCCTTTTTCCCCTCGTACATATGTTTGTCTTTCGAAATCAGATTGAAGTCGCAAAACCGTTTTTGCTTTTCTCTCAAAAGGCCTTGACTGAAGGCATTTAACCGTTATATTGTTTTTGATGGCTCATTTTCCATTTCTCGAGCTGTTGTTTAAATCTATCCCATTATTTCCTTTTCCGAAATTCATATATTACATCTGTGATATCGCGCTTCTATATATAAATATATGCAATTACACTATAACAGATCGAATGAAATTTTTTGCTTTTATAATGAAAAAATAAATTAGAGAATTATTTCTTTAGTCCGACTCGAACTATTTTATACTACTGATTTTTTGATTTAGTAAATTTAGTCTAAAGTTTTTAGATTCTTTTTTTTTTTGACCAAAACTATTTATAATTACTGATTTTTATATTTTGTGAATCTTTCCTAAAACTCAAGATAGTTTTGTCTGACTAAAAATATTTTATACTACCCATTTTCTGATTTAGTACATTTTGTCTGGATTTCTGTATTTTTTTGTCTGACTATAACTATCTTACACTACTGATTTTTCATTCTTGTAAAATTAGTCTAGTTTTCAGTATATTTTTGGTCTGACTAAAACTATTTTACACTACTCATTTTTTTGATTTAATAAATTATTTCTAGATTTCCATTATTTTTCGTCTGACTATAACTATCTTACACTACTGATTTTTTTTATTTTTGTCAAGATTTAACTATTTTTTGTCTGACTAAAACTATTTTATACTACTTATTTTTTATATGTCAAATTTTGGCTAGAATTCTGCATTATCTTCTGTCTGACGAAAACTTTTTTATACTACTGCTTTTTTTATTTAGTCAATTTTTTCTAGATTTTTGTATTTTTAATTATTGACTAATTGAAACAATTTTATTTTACTGATTTTTTGAATTCAGTACCTAATTTTCGCTTAGAATTCTAAATTTTCTATGACTGACTATAATTATCTTACACTACTGATTTTACGATTTAGTAAATTTTATTAAAATTGCCTGGTTTTTTTTTTGTTGTCAAAACTATTTAAAAATACTGTTTTTTAAAAATAGTGTTTTTTAAATTTAGTAAAGTTTGTCTTATAACGACTCAAGATTTTTTTGCCTGACTAAAACTATTTTATACTACTTATATTTTTATTTAATAAAATATGTCTAGATTTTAATTATGTTTTTGTCTGACTAAAACAATTTTAAACTACTGATTTTTTTATTTCTGTCCAGATTTCACTATTTTTAGTCCGCCCAAAAGTATTTTATACTACTGTTTTTATTATTTAGTAAATATTTGGTAAATTCTTGCTAAATTTCTGCATTTTATTTTGTCTGAATAAAAATAGTTTCTACTACTGCTTTTCAAAAATTGCATGAAATTGGAATTTCCGTGGAGTTTTTATTTAAATTCTGCAAGTTTTTTATTTTAAAATAATATTTTAATAATTCCAGGGTTATGTCATAGGTAAAGAAAATTAAAGAAATTAATGTTAATTAATAAATTAATTTAAATAATAAATTAATTTAATAAATAAATAAATTAATTAATTAATGTTCAAACATTTTTAAAATTCGATTCACAATTTCTATTATCTTTAAAAATAATAAAATTCTTCTGCAAAAACCAATTATTTACAAAAATTTTAATAAGATTCTTGTCACAATTTCAGTTATTTTCAAAAAATTTTCTCAATTTAATCATTTTCAATATTTACTAGGTTATAATAGAATTTTTCAATAGATTTCAATTATTTAAAAAAAGTGTTGATAAAAGTTATAGAAAACATTAAATTATCTTCATAAATAATAAAATCTTTTATCGAGATTCAATTATTTTCATGAATAATAAAATTCATCATAGAATTTA